CATATGTGGGTGAGTTTTTATACATACATGTTATAGTATATGTGAGTTTTATATATTTACGATTTATATCGGTTAATTTTTATACTGAGTATGTATTAGACCTTGTGTGTTTATTTGTTAGTTGTGGGTGTGACAGCTGACAGCTAAAATATTTGTCAGCTGTTGCGTTTTTTTTTTGTTTTTTGTTTTGCATATATTGTTGTTGTAATTTTCTAGTAATTTAAAAATATTATGTATTTTTAGTTCTATTGCTAAATATTTTTAATTTTAATATTGTATTATTTTTTAATATTATTATGTATTACATTATTATAAGCACAAGTTTTACTTAAGTATTTAAGTGTTGATTGATCGATTATTGAAGGGATTTATGTTTATGTTAATTTTTGTATTTATAAGTATTCATTATTTATTCTAAAATCATAGGCTTTAAAGTACATACATATTTACTTAATTCACATACACACGTACATAAAATTTATATATTTAAATTTTTTGTTTACTAAATACTACTAAAGCAGATACTAATTTTTTGTTTTTGTTTTTTAATAAAATATAAATTAATATTTTATAAAAAGAATAAATTATTTGTTATGAAAAAAGTTACATTTTTACACTATTTTACGCTAAAAGTATATTTTTTAAAAAATTTGCATAAAAAATTAAAAAAAAATTTGTGGAAAAAAATTTGTGAAAAAGTATTAGTTATAAAAAAAGCACTTTTTTGGTAAAAATTGTTATTTTTATTTGTATTTTTCGTTACGAAATTTTTTTGAAGCAATTTTTTTACATTTTTTTTTTTTTAATTTTCTAAAAAAAAAATATTATATGTTCAAAAAAGAAACACAGGTTTAAGAAAAATTGTTTACTATGAAAAACATCCAGCGTATAAACATATGCCACAAATTATTTATATATATATGTATTATATATATTCTATTGTTTTATATTAAAATTTAATCCTCTAAGCTACTAATAAAAAATTCATTATTATAAAACTCAACACAATTGCGTCATATTTTTTGCATATAGTGTATGTAGTAATAAAAGCTGAAATATAGAAGCCTACTCACACCGCATACGAGTTTTGTTGTCGTTTATCTTAATATCATTAATTTTATGGAAGTACTTAATGCTTAAATTTTTACAACAGACACGCACACATACTACGCCAAATTTTTATTATAAAACATTTGTTTAATCAACCTATTAAAATATTCAAAATTTATTAGTTTTTAAATTTTGTAATGATCATAATATTTTGGCAATTTTTTACTTTGGATCTCAAGTTCTTTGAAATCTCTGCAAAATTAAATTCTCTTACGATCTTTTTTAATACAATTTAAATTTTTTTAAAATTGGAAGGTAAACAGTTTTATTTTTTACGAAGTTCTTTAATAAAAATTTAAATTTTTTAAAACTGGCAGAAAAACAATTTTATTTATTTACAAATTTTTTTCATAAAATTAAATTTTTTTTGAAATATGGCATAAACATTTATGTTATTGTAATACTGAATTAATATTTGTTAAGTGTAATTTTATGTAAATATAAAAAAAATGAAGCGAAATTTTTAAGTAAAAAAAAAGAAAGCAAACATGAAGCAAGGTTCCAAAAATATAGTTAAACTCGCTGAAATAAATGCAACCCTGTGAAGCAACCTAAAACAAATAATCATTTAGCGCTGGATATATTAATATTGGGTTTCTTTATAAATTCGAAATGTGCAATAGTGTAAGTCTTTTAGACAGGCGCCTAAGTTATAAATTGCTAATTTTTTGTTAAATCAAAAATTGGTTCATGTGTGTGTAGATAACGTGCTAATTGACTCAATTAAATTGCTATCTGAAACTAATAGTATATTGTCAAAAAGAGTTAGCATCAACAAGGAAGAACTACCAATTCATCAACTTATATGATTAGGACATATTCAAGAATAAATAAATAAATTAAATCATCTATTCAATATGCTATTAGATTCAAATTAAAAAAACTCTTTGGTGAGAGACTCAATTTATAAAAAAATATGGAAAGTCTTGGAAATGGAGTTTATATATTTTAGCAGTGGTGGCAATTTGAAAGTTCATAAGATGATGACAATCAAATAGAGATCGGACTAACGTCTGTTCCATTTATAGTTAACTGATTTTCAATTCAATTCAAGTGTCAGTTCAGAGTGTTCAGTTCATGCATATATATTCTGCAGTTATACGTATTAATTTTCATATAATAATTCATATATATTTTACATAAATATACAATGATCATGAGTTTCGTCGGATATTTACTGTGATGTATTAACATTAAGATATACATCACAGAAGAACGATGGTTGAAAGCTGTGAAGTATTTTTAAAATGACTTTACGTATATATTGTATATATAACACGTAAATATAATTCATGTTTCTCCCCGATTATTTCATGCTATATTCTTTAGTACCGATTGTTATGAATAAATTCGTCTATTACACCGTACAACCCCAACCGGCTGTTTGGATTAGAGTGGACCAAATCCATTTTTTTCGAAAGATTAAACTATAATTAAAAAAAAAAAATTCACCATTTTTTGTAGTAGTTTTTGCAGAATAGTGTTATCGACGAACCAAAATTTTCAAAAGTAAATCAAGAACAAAACTTGCTCGCCATATCGTGATTATTTTTCAAGATACAAAGAACAGTCCGTTTATGTATTTTTCTTAAGAGTTCAATTTGTATGGCAGCTATATGATATAGAGATACGATATCGGCCGTTTCGTCAAATGAGTAGCTTCTTGGTAAGGAGCACAGGTGCAAAATTTCATATTAATAGCTTAGAAACTGAGGGACTAGCTTATCATGCGGTTTTTGTTGTCAGTATTGCAAACCAATTTTGGATTTTCTATTGTGTCACAGAATCTGATTGGAAATTCATCTTTTCATGCATACGCAAAACCAATATTCGCATCAGCTCTTTACTATTGTGACAAAACTTGCATGTGAATAAATTTAAAAGCCTTTAATAAATTTAAAATACTAAATAAACTCTAATAAAGTGTGCAGAGGAGTTCATTATTTTAGTTTAGGAAAATATTAAGAGAAGACAGTAATCCACTTGATGCACCAGCGGAATCGCATGTGAAATTTGGTTTTTGCATAACTTGTATGCATATTTACTTTACTGATGTACATACCTACGTATGTATAATAGAGTGGAACGAAAAAAAAAGTTTTAAAGTAAATATTTTTTTGTCCAAAAATTTTCTTTTTTTATAATCGACATATTTTACCTCCAAACCAAACCAAAAACATTTTTTTTGCTCCACCCTAATGTATATAAGTATATCACATTATCGAGTGAATAAAGTATCAGCGGCTATTCGAATATGCTTCTAGCCCCAGCATTAGTTCAGAATTAGCATATCAGCCTTAAGCGGTTATAACGAGCTTTTTCGGTAATACTGTAAATACCAAAAGTGATAGCTTCAGTGCACTTGACGCAAACTCTTTCTACCATATACTATTAAATTTAAAAAAATCCATAAATATAATAAAACAATAATATTAAACATAAATAATACAATAAGTACTACAATAATAAGTTACGAACTTTCAATTTCGGCAAAGATGCTAGGTGTGCTTTTTCGAACTGGTTGCATCATGCATACCGTGCAGTTTGCATTACCGAAAGCGCCTATCTGCTTGTGAATTGCAAAAAATCTTTTTTTTTATTTTGCAAATATAGCGAATGTACACATACTTGAACATATTCTTCGAAAATTAGAAATTGATCCGGCAAAAAGTTTCGTTTATATGAGCGTATTTGTAAGAAAGTTACGCCGTAACGGTTGGACCGATCGACTTGAAATTTTCGCCTTCTTGGATATATTTGTCAGATATTGATCGTAGGAATAAAAAGAGTAACATTTTTGATAATTAATTCGATTTTTGAAGTCACTCTAAGGTGTACATTTTTTCACAAAAAACGACTTTATCTTTGGAAAGCCGCCATTTTGTCACAAATCTAAAATCATCTAAATAATTCTTTTGTTTATTGTGGGTTTTTAAATTTGCGATATTTTTAAGCAGAATACCGCCCGATACCTTTTTTCGGAGGTCTTCCAGCAGATCGACTACGGTACCAAGAAAGTCCAAAATTTATCGAACTTAATCGCCGATTATCAAAGTTTTTTCTGACTTGCAAGTGGTTATAATCGCTTAATTAATCCTTTAAGTGGACTAAATTAATAAAATTAGTGACAATGTAAGTCATTACAACCACAATAGTGGACATGTTGCTGACTACTTCTAATAAATCAGCGACCTTTCTATCATAGGATCGTTATTGGTGTCGACTGAGCTTCGTTTTTGAAGACACTTTTTACCTAAAATGCGGGTTTTCTTTAATTTTTGTTAAAATTTCGAATCACCCGCTACGACTACGGTCAAAAACTAAAATTAAAAATTCACAAAATGGCAGCGCCTTTACAAAAAAAAGTTGAATTTTATTCAAAATCTTAGTCGTTTTTGGCTTGCCAAATTTTGATTTTTAATTAGACCAAAAAACTGGTTGGTCATTGTTTAGATAACTACAGAAAAAATATTAATAGTGATCGGATCATTTGCCTACGAGTCATCACGCTAACAATTTTTAAAGATAAATAGCTCTATCGCGGCTACACTTTAGAAGGCTGTAACTTAAAAACCATAAGAGATGTCGCTTTTGAAAAGGTATAATCTAACAAAATATGAAAAGATCTTATTTCTTTTTCTATTTCACATTCACATTCCACTTAATCGCTAGTGTGCCACAAAAAGTTTATTGTTGGCAGCAGCGTTGCATTCTAACGCGAATTACAACGCTGTAAGCTGAAGTGCCTCAATTGTCTTCTCCAACTGCGCGTGTCTTAGCAAATTATAACTAACAAACTAAACCAGTGTTAAAATAAACATAAGCCAGCACAATTGATTTTTTATAAGTTTTATATTTTTTTTTTTTTAGAACAATGCTTGCTTTGATTGTTTTTTTTGTTTGATTCTTTATGTTTACTTAACAATTTTAGCGATTTCTACTTGTTTATTGTTGCGCATATCATACATAATCGATTTTCCTTACATTTCATTACAAATTTGTTTTCTTTTTTGTTTTCATTTTATTTATTAATATTATAATGTGTTTTATTTGTATTTTTTATTGTTGCACATATGCATAATGCTTACAATTGTTTTATAAGTACAAATACAAGAGTACGTACACACTAATTGTTTACAAAAACAAAAATTTCAAGAGAGTTTAGTGAAGAAAATTAATTTGAAATTATGTAAAGAAACCAAAAACGAAAAAAGGAACAAAGGAAACGAAAACAAAAACAAAACTACGCATTGTATTTTGTTAGTATGTATATAAATATTATTTACTTTTTTCTTCTTCTGCTCTTGCTTTATTTAACATTAAAACTAATAATTAAATTGTTTTCGTTTTGCGTCTTTACATTCTCAGTTTACTAGCTCTGTGTTGTTGTTGCTGTTGCACTTACAAAAAACATTTTTAATTTTTCATCATTTTTTTAATTTTTTAATTTTTAAGCTTTTTTTCCTTTTTATTTTATATGCCTTAACTTTAATTAAAAACAAAAAATAAAAATAAAATTCAAATATCTTGCTGCTTCATTCTTGTTAGAACATCATTATATAATTATCATCAAATAAAAAGTGAACTTTAAAGTCAAAAAAGTGTTGGCGTTCATTGTCAGAGTTTAAGTGTTGTGTTGCTATTGCTATTGTTGTTGTAGTTTACATGCGCGTGACAGCAAGCGCCTGTGCCGCGGTGTGCGTGTATGCGTTTTTTGGAAGTACAATTAACAATATGCTAACACACACACACACACACACATACATTCTCAAACACGTCACACACTGCCACGCGCCGTAAATATTAGGAGAAAGTAGAGAAAAGCGCCAAGCGGCAGGTTTACATATTTTACAGTTGCTAGCGTAGGTTAAGCGCGCAGCAGAAAGTGTAGAAGCGGCGTTGTTTAAGCGCCTAGTTGTATGCTGCAATATTTTAAGCTGATCGTAGTTGGTGTTTTTTGTTGTTGTTACAGTTGCTGCTTACTGCTGTCTAATGGTGTGTTGCCAGTTTTTCACATATTTATATTTGTATTATATAATTGATTGATTGTGTTTGCGCTGTCTGCAAAAAAAGGTGACGAGTGTGTTCCAATGCATTGGTTGTTTGCCTCGTTGTTATTGTTGTTGTTGCTGTTGCTACGATGACTGCGTTTGCCTTTCAGTGTTCATGCACTTGGGGGCATTTTCTCATTTTTTATTGCTGTTTTTGTTGTTGTTGTTGTTGTATTGCGTTGTTACTATTGTTGTTGTTGTTGTTGTTGTTGCTGATGCTACTGCTGCTGTTTGCTGTTTTAATTAATGTAGTATATTTCACATTTATTGGTTTTTAAAACCTCTGTTTGTTTTTTGTTTTGTTTTTGTTTTTCTTCTTTAAAAATGAACACTTTTCATCTGGTGGGAATTTATATGGTTTTGGAAAATCTATTGCACGCAACATGAATTCTTGTGCCCATTTTTGTGCTTTAGCCTTGCCTTGGGCTTATACCGTTCCAAGAATGACAATTGTTTGGCATTGATGGCGCCTCGTCGTTTACTGCAAATAAAAGCAAAAAAAAATATATATATATATATAAAAAATCAGTTTTAGTTGAATATTAAAAATATTTATACATGTTTAGATATGTTGATAACAGGACAGGTGAACTTATACTCCATATTTTTATACTCTAAATGATAAACGTGACAAGTTAAGTCGATTTGGCCATGACTGTACGTCTGTCTATACGCGAAATAGTCTCTCAATATTTTTGATATAGATCTGAAATTTTGTCTACGTTCTTTTCTGCCCAAGAAGCTCTGCATTTGCTGAAACCGCCGATATCGAACCACTATAGAATGTAGCCGCCAGACAAACTGAACGATCAGAATAAAGTGCTTGTATGGAAAACTTTTTAATTTTGAGAGATATCTTCACGAAATTTGGCATATATTAATATCCAAAGCAACGCTATAATATCCGAACAAATTGTTTAGATCGGATCACTATAGCATTTAGTTGTCATACAAACTGATCGATCAAAGTGTATGCTTTCTATGGAAATCTTTTTTATTTGTCAAATTATCTTCACGAAATTCGGCACGCAATTTTGTTCAAGGCAACGCCCCATTCTCCGCACAAAATATTCTAATCGGACCACTATAACATATAGCTTCCATACAAACTGAACGATCAAAATCATGTTGTTGTATGGAACAGCTTTTTATTTGTCAATGATATCTATTATAACATCGGTGCAAACGAAGTTAATGTTTTTCCTTGTTTATATATACAAGTAAGATATAGTTTTATCAGAAATATCCAATAAACTATGTATATCGTTTATCGTTTTTTATTACATCGATACTTACTCTCTTATCATCTCCACAGCTGCCTCATACTTGAGTCCCAATTCAATCAGCGCTAATGCGACCAAAACCGGTGCACGTCCCAAACCGGCAACGCAATGTACAGCAACGCAAGCTTCCGGATTTTGTTGATACCTGCGAAAAAGTGTGGTGAGTTAATTAAAATAATTATTATTAATGAAGAGAGAGCGAGTGTGAAAAATGTAAAATTTCAAAACAAAAACTTTTTTAATTAAATATTTTTTTTTTTTTTTTAAACAATTTAATACCAAAATGTTCATGAACTCAAAACGCAATTGTGTTGCAACTGTTTTGCTTAGTGCCCAAGCGCAACGCGGCAAACACTTATACTAATTTTAGTCTAATTAATTTTTCTTGCGCTATTAACTCAGTGCAATTTTTTGTTAGATGTATTGTATGTAAACGAGTATGTGTATGTGTTAAAAATGTAACGGCACCTTACCTACAAGTGGCATTTTCATGATCATTATTATCGCACTCATCATGATTAGCATTGGCATTTGTATCGGCTGTCATGTCGTTATCATTACCATTGTTGCTATTGTTATACATAACACTACAGTTATCTAAATTCTCATAATCATTTCTATGTTTATGCTTAAGTGAAAACCTTTTATTTTTGTAAAATGAAACCGTTGCATTTCTATGCGTCGAAGGCGTACTTGAGGAGTGAGTTACGGTGTTGCTATTGCTAAATCTAAGACCCGACCACGTGGAGCGTGATGTGATTGTTGTTTGTAATTGTTGTTGTTGTTTTTTTAGCAGATGTTTTGCAGTTTTATTTTTTATTTTTATTTTTTTGCACGAAATAATTTTCAATTTAACGTCCATGCATTGTTTGTTTATGGTTTTTTTTTGTTGTTTTTAATATAAGAAACAAGAAAAAAAGAAGAAGAATAACCAGAATCAACAAAGTGGCAACAACTTAGCGTCTGTTAGAGAGTTCGACTTTACTATTGTGTTAAGTTGAGTTTAGCACAACAGATTGTGACTATTAGTAATTGGTACAGTTATTGGTTTCAGGTATATGATTTAGGGTATATGTAACTTTAGGGTGCCCGTTATTTCCCAAGTTGATTTGTTTTTTGCAAACGCCGTCCGAAGTTTCAGTTTTTGCCCTACAAAAAGGACCCAACGTAAACAAGTTCTTTATTTTCAATTTAAAACGTACCTAAATCATATTTTTTCCATGTACGAGTATATACATAATATTTTGCATTAAACAAGTGAGTCTATAACCTTGAAATATTAATATTCTAGCACAAAATTTGCTGCTCTAAAAAAAGTTTTTAATAATTGTTTCCACAAAACCATTCCTTTAAAAGGTATACACCGCTTAGTTTATGCATCAAATGTACTGTATTCATAAAGTACACCATGTCGTATGAGCAACACAGAATGTATAAATAACGTGTAAGAATGTCCAGATGATAGATGAATAATACATACTATAGATAGAAGAAATAAAACAAATATATAAAAACAAAATTTTAAAGAATAAATAAATAAAAAAAATAAATAAATAAAAAAATAAATAAATAAATAAATAAATAAATAAAAAAAAATAAATTAAAAAAATTAATAAAAAAAAAATAAATTAAAAAAATAAATAAAAATATAAAAATTAAAAAAAAAAAAATTTAAAAAAAGTATAAAAAAAGAAATAATAAAATAATAAATAAAAAAAAAACTTTGAATCGGTTTTCAGCTGTCGGTGTTCTCTGAAAAAATGTATCATAATAATACATATAATTTATACCATAAAAATTTCTGATATTTTGACGTGAGATAATTTTTGTTGAAATTTAGTGTTTTTCGAGTTTAAGTCAAAAAGGGGTTTCTGTTAATATTTTAAATAAAAAACAAAAAAAGCTGGGTATGTGGGACATAAGAATGTAAGTTTACACCAAATCTCGTGAATGAAAATACAATTTTTTTGTACAAAATAAAAATAAATAACTTAAAAATTTGCTTGTTTGAATTTTTCACATAAATTGAGGTTATGTGAATAATGTCTATATATAAAAGTTTTAGATCCTTTCATTACTTGTAGTTTTGCCAGAAATCGAGATAAGCCGTTTTTAACCCTTAAAAATAAATTCGCCCACGCCCCTCCTCTTTTGTTTTCCCACCACCGATCGCCCATAAATTATTTATTCTAATGTTTGTTATGTTATCTTTCGTTTTCAATGGGTTTCAAACTACGAAGAATAACTTCTTTATTTTTTAATTTTCAAAAGCTTCTGCAGTAATCTATTAGGCAGGATTTAAATTAAAAATAAAGAGCTTGTTTACATTGTATACTTATTTTTAGCGCAAAAACCTAATTTCTCTTCCTTCCTTAGGGAAATAACGGACACCCTAATGTATCAAATATTTTGTAGTTATAAAGACAGCAATTGTGTAGTATGAGTTTTGAAAATTACTAATAAGCGCAGCTAAGTTTGAGGCAGAAAATAATGATGTGCAAAAATTATTTGCTTAGCATGAGAAAATTAATTTAACGCTTTACTATATATGTAATTTTTTTTTTTAAATAACTATATATATATTTTTTTAAAAATAATATTTTTAAGAATATAAATATTTTTTCAATTTATAAATATTTTTAAAATTAATAATTTTTTTTTATATTTCTAAAAATTTTTTTTTATATTTCTTATTATTATTTTATTCACAAAAACTGCGCAATATTTTTATATTTGTTCAATGACACACAATAGCAGCATTTGCATTAGTAAAATTGAATTTTAATTAAAAAAATATGTATGAAAATTTTTTATAAGCGCTGTTACAGTAATTAAAGCATTTTATAGAAAACCTTTAATAAAAAAAATTGCTAGGCAACATGCTGTTATATAATTTTGCCTTTGCCAAAAAATATCTGCTTATAATTTTTAAATATTTTTCTATAATAACATGCATGCTTTTGCTGTATTAGTTTATATCATGAATTATAGTGGATATGTGTTACGAACGAAGTGACTTTTTTTATTATTAAACCGTGACAATATCGGTTGACACTGTAAACAAAGGCAAGTCCCTTTGCATATATTTTAGTATAACTGCGAATATGGCAATAATTCCAGGTAACTATATTTTACGAAAATGTCGTATTGGTTATATAGGTATATATGTATTCTGAATAAGTCCATTAGTATAGTCATAAAATACAAACTAGGTGTTTTGAGTCTCACAAGGCATCCTAAAAGATGACTACTGCTCATGGACTTCGTAACGGAACTCCATTTGATATTGCAAAGGATCAAAACTGGTCTAAACGTGGCTCATTAGCCTACAAGCTTAAACTAACCTAACCTAACCATTACTTACTTTGTCTGTAGCAAGAACCTCCAAGGGTCGTTGTTTTACAAAAATAGATGAAGATCGCCGCAAGAGCTAAAGACTATTCTAAAAATCGAATTTGAGAATTTTTTCGACAATTGGAAGAAGCGCTGACATTAGTGCATAATATCGAATGGGAACTATTTTGAAGGCGACAACATTAATGCAGACAAATTAATAAATATTTTTTTTAAGAAACAAAAATTTCCGTTATTTTTTTAACACATCTCGTATATATGTATATACAATATACAATATATCCTGTTCTTATATTTATATGACGAATAATTTTGCAGTTGAAAAAATCGCCTAAAAACTTGTGTAAATCTACCATCTTGGTTGTTTACCAATAGGGACAAGGGTTACTAAGAGAGAGGTATTATGAAACTACCTTCAAAATGGCCACTAGTTATCAAACAAAACGGTGCATATTTGAGCCTAAAACGTAAAGTTCTAACTATGCTAAGCAAAACCTTAAATTTAATGCAAAAAAAAAATCTATTTCTTATTTTTAGTATACCTGATAATTTATAATGAAAAAAATATTGCTGCAAAATGTCAAAAGTTACATGACTTGTCAACTGAACGCCAATAATTGCGCAATACGCTAAAATATCCAACCCAAAGATATAAAAAAAAAAAAATATGTATCCTACGATCGTCAAAACGCCCAGACATTGAAAATTAATTATTTTGAAAATCTTCTATTTTTCTCGACCAACTAAATTTAAATTTAAGCAAAATCTATTTCCGACATACATATGTGAATTTTCAATACAGCAACCAAATGACACATAACACATGACCGTTACTCAAATTACCGCCGAAGAAAGCCGCGCCAAAGATGAATATGCGAGGTGAATTTGCGTTTTTGGTGCAAATGATTTGCGACGCATAAAGCCAATATCACACAATGATGATTATTATTAACCACTTGCAGGCAAGCAAAACGAGACAACAGAACAATTTAAACAAAATTAGTTGAATAAAACAGTGAAACAGAGAAAAAACGAATGAAAATAAATGCTTTGCAACTCACTTTTGCTTCAAAATCTCGAACCATTCATCAACAACTTGAGGTGGCGGAAAAGTGCCATCTTCGAATGCTAAATCCTTAACTGTAATGCCTTGAGCTTCGAGCTCATCCGTATTATAGCTGGGCTCGCATACGCGCACAACAGTGCTGACGTTGTTCTTTTTGAGCTCCTGTAAAAGTGCGAAAATAATAAATTTAATTTTTGAAGATTATGAAAAAACAAGAAAAAATTTTAACTTCGGTTGCATCGAAGCTATGATATACTTCATAAAGAAGTTTTATATACCAAAACTTGATTTTAATTAAATTAACAGATTGGTGAATTTGTATAGCAGCTAAATGCTATAGAGTATAGATAGTAGACAATAATCCATGTCAAATTTTGTGTAGATATCTTGTTGAATAAAAAACTTTTCCATACAAGAACTGAACTTTGATTACATTTGTTGTCCAGTATATGTTATAGTAGTCAAATCTGAACAATTTGATTCGGAGATTGTAGTGCTGTCTTGGACAATAATCTATGCCAAATGTCGTTAAGATACTTTGTAAAATACAAAAGTTTTCCATACAAGCACTTGATTACGATCGTTCAGTTGATATGGCAGCTATATGCTGTAGTGATCCGGTCGGAAAAATTTCTACGTAGATTGTAGTGTATTCCTTAAAAATATTCTATGCCAAATTTCCTGACGATATCTTATCAGATGAAAAACTTGTCCATACAAGAACTGAACTTTGATTGATCAGTTTGTATGCCAGCTATATGTTATAATGAACCGATATCGGCGGTTTTGACAAATGAGCAGCTTTTAGGACAGAAAAGGACGTGTTTAAAATTTCAAATTGATATTTCAAAAACTGAGAGACTAATTCGCGATATACTTGTACAGACGACAAACAGACGGGCATCGCTAAATCGAGCCAGCTTGTAACGCTGATTATACGTATATATATTTTATGGGGTCTTCGACGTATCTGGTTGTTCAGGGTATATAAAAATCAAAACAGTGCACAAAGCGTATACTAACCGTTATATAATGATGGATGGTGACATCTGATGGCCGATCGGTGATTAGGAACTTCATGCCCTTAAACTCAATAAGAGCTGGTGCTGGGCGCAAATCCTTTTGACGCATGTTGCTCATTAATTTACGACTTTAACACAAATAAGAAATTATTTATGCGTTCGTATGCAATATACAATAGGCTTGTATAATTGTGTACTTGTAGACAGGCAGTTAAGAGTTTTGTGTTCTTCTTCTTTTGGTATTAAATATATTAATTTTTATAGAAGTACGTTGTTATTTTAGCGCTCACGCTCCGCACTTTAGCTTTATGCTCTTCGGCTGTCTTTTACTTTCAAGCGCTGAGGTGTTTTGTTGTTTTGCCTATGTTTTCTCCTTGACTTTGTAGGTTAGGTTAGCGGCTTTGTAAATATTTCGCTTTGGAAGCTGCGCGTCCACTGTTTTTGTTACAAATTTGACAGTGATCGCTCCAAAGTATAAATATAATGGAAACTTCTGTCACAAACTGGACTAAAAGTTTGTTTTCTCTTTTCTTTTTGCTTTCTTTTGCTTTTGTTTACTCTCAATAAATCGGAATGTGTGTGCAACACTTGCAGCAGTTTATGCCAATTAATTTTGTTGTTGTTTTTGTTTTTCTTGTAAATATTTTGTATAAATATAATTTAAGTATTTAATGTGCAAATTGAAGCTTATATACGGAAATTGTTTTGTAATTAGCGCAAAAATTTAAAATTAAGTAAAGTTTAGTAGATTTGTTTTTTTTTTTAGTTTTTGGTGTTAATGAGTTGTTGTTGGTATTATATTTTTAGCTTAAAATTATCACAAAAAATAATTAGAAAAAGTTTTCCAAAATAGTTTTTCTTTATAGCTTTTCTTTCTTTTTTGTTGTTGTTTCTTGCAAAAAACCTGCCTGATTTTCTGCCGTTTCGAAATCGCTGTTGGCGTTTAGTTGTTGTAGTTTAATTACTCTTTAATTGTAGAACAAGTTATGTTCGCAATAATTCTGTCAATTAATTAGCTCTTTTTGTTGCTTTTTGCTTTCTCTTGCTTGTTTTAGCTAAAACGAAATTATGTATACCAATTCTTCTGATATGCGCGCTTTTTGTAGTTGCTCTCTTTATTTCTTGCTGCCTCAGCAAACACTTGCTTGAAACTCCAATTAGTTTTTTTTTTTTTTTTAAAGAAAATTCGAAAAATGTTTCTACGCTAAAACTCGCTCGCTCTCTCGTACCGCGCGCTATCGCTGCTATCTCCTGTCTAACTGTCTCTCAACTGGACGCGCTTGCAACAAGTTCCCTCGTCCTTTTTACGTTTCTTTCGCTGTTTGCAACTCTTTCCCTGGAAAGAAAGAAATTTATAAAAGTTTTATTAGTATATTGGAATCTTAAATTTTATATATTAATATTTAAGCGTATTTTTTAAGTGCAGCGATTTTTAATTATCGCATATGGTAGAAGTTCCTGACATTGATTTTTCATTAGATTGACTACCTAGAAGTAACGCAATCGGGGTAATATACTGACCATTAAATTTAAATTATATGGAAAGGAGGTAAAGATTATGAGGAAAGTGTTTAATGAATCTAATAAAGAGGTAAATAACCGGATATTAGAGTTTTTCTAATTAGTAGCTGAACTTAAACCAAAACAAAACTCGGTCTAATTTTTAACATGGTTTAAAGGTTCATTTCGACCAATTTAAGTACATGTATCTATTTTACACATTTTTCATTAGATTTTTTCATATTTGAATCTAAGTTTGATCTATCATATGAAGATAATTTGTTGCATTTAATCTACATAAATACTAATATTTATCAACGCTTTCACACATGCAAACCATTACATATCTACCGCCGATGCAATACCTATTATCACGCCTAAAATCACGAAAGATCTCCTAAAGTACTGCCCTGAGCATCGATTTAACTTTCTAAAGCAAGGACTGCATATTTTAAATATTGTACATGCAATAATATGTCAAAACTTGAGTCCTAGCCGTTTCAAGTACAATACAATTCTGAGTTTTGCGAAGTCAGTTTAAAAGAGTCCAGCTCTTTAGGACTTCAATTATTAAAGCAAAGAGAGACAATTTGCACAAAATCCAGTTGTACGGTACCGGAATTGACACGATTTTCTCCGGGCAAGGGCGTTATTTCGGAGATCCAATCCTCTCTGGATTGAACACATAAAAAAAACCAAGGAAAACCGCTAACTGTGGTAGCTATAATACCCTCACAAATACAAAAGATTCCATACCATAACTATATTTTGATCGTTCGGTGCAAAATTTCAGACTTATATCTCAAAACTGAGGGATTAGTTCGCATAATATAGAGATAGACAAACATAACTATCGACTCAGCTCATCATGCTGATCATAATAAATATAATTTTTAGATATCCTGGGAAACCGCTAAATGACGCACAGCGTTCACGGTCTTACCAACTTCTGAACTGGACTATAGCATTGTCATAGATTAAGTTATGAAATAGTTTTTTGGTTTTCAGTTTTAACCCGGGCTGGTGGTTGCGGCATTCTGCCACTTAATGTGATGGGTGCAACTGAGCTGAAATGGCTGGTGGATAATACCGCAACTGCCTCCTCTCGGCCTCGTGTAAGATAATATTGGACCATTAAAGGCGACTACATTTCGGGGGACGCATAGCGGTTCTGGTTGGGGAATTTTCGAATAAACTTAACTAGAGAAGACGAAATCGGGAGGTGAAGAGAGATCTATCACTAGGCACTTCAAACTAGATGCACTAGGAAGAGAAGACGTGACAAATCGGTAGGAATCTACCGAATACTGACAATGCTAGGAACGGTACGAGACGGAATCGCCAGTACCAGCAGGGAACCTCTGTTAGAGTAATAAGAAGCACTACCAATATAAAAGGCGCAAATAGGAAGCGCGCGTTTAGCGAAATCATCTAGGTTAAATTGCAAAAATAGAAATAAAAGACTCTGCCATGCCGAGGGATCAGCCATCTAACCTCAAGTTAGATTGGATTAGTCGAGGAAGTAAAAATCCAAAAACAAAAAAAGATAATAATCTTTCAAAGTTTTTCAAGATTTGCAAAAAACAACTGGCAGTGGCGAAAAAGTTAGGTAAACCCAACTAGGTTTGATCTCAGTTTCGGCACAGCAGCAAGCATCGAGCGTATTTCTGTCATAAGCAATTCTCTCATAAAATCCATTGCATGTTTGAAGTATTGAAAATGAATGGTGAGTGTTTTACTATCGATGATCAGGAAATCGAATACCGGTAAAACCGAGCCAGCTGCCAGCTTTGAGATCGCTGCTACCACGAACCCAATAGGCAATTAGGTATAGACACCTCTCTCGACAGACAAAACTAACACTCTACAAGTCGCTCAACCGGTACCCTTGCTTCTGTGTGGCGCAAAAGCATGGACGATGCTAAAATGAAATAAGCTGCAGCGTTAGCTTGGTCAGGCTGTGAAGATAGATACGATGCTATAGCGAAAGGGTATTCAATGCGGGTGCCGCTGGTAAAAACCTAGAGGTATACCATGTTTCTGTTTAAGTAAACAAGTATAAGAAGCAGTGACGAAACTTGGTGTACGAGACTGGAAGAGGCGGGCGCGTAGTAAGGCGCCTGGAAGGTAATATACCGTCAGGCCGAACCTCAATAGATTTGATAAGCTAATTAAACAAGAAAATCTGAAATTTATTTTTTTTCGTAACGATCGTTGCCTCTTTCGTTCAAAACTGTTATATCTAATAGAAAATCACTCCACAGCACTGCTAAGAGAATATTATGGCGCCAAATAGAAAATAATAAAGTGCAATTTTATGGCCACGAAACATTGCTGTTGCCGCTCTTTGGGCGAACACGGGTACGAATTTCCGCGCCATTTAAATATGATATTCATCAAAAGTATACTATAGGCTGTGGTAGCTCGTGTGTGAAGCTATAAAAGCATTTCAATATTTTAGAAGAAACAAGAAAATACATATTGCAGTTGAAAAAAAATATAACAACGCCTCGGCTGTCTGTTGAACAATATTATTTAATGAATGTAGGGTGATTATAGTTTTCGGTGTAAATAAATTACGAACTTAAATACGCATAATAAATATTGCACGTGGCGGAAAAATATATTATGTAATATTATGGCGAAAAGTGAAAATTGCAAATTAGAAAATCGACAGGCATAAAAATATTATATTGCTATATATAAAATTATTTATTTATATGATGGTATGTGTATCTATGTATATACCGCGTGCTGCTGCTCCGCTACAATTCACGCCTTTGTGATTATTTAAAAATATTTTTTTTTTT